TCAGATCCGGGCTGAGTCCGCCGTGCATAGTGAAAATCTTCTCTGTCAATGATAGCGGCAATGGGCAGACAGTTGAAGCAGTCGGTGAAGGTTTTCCACAGCTTGATGTTGTAACGACGCTTGCACTCCTCGTAGAAGCCGTAGATGCGGTTGATCGAGGGACACTCCTGGGTGGCCCGGAGGATGAAGAAAGTCTCCGGGGACTTGATCTTTGAGGCGAACAGAAAGGAGATAGTCTCCCGCGACTGCTTGCCACGATCAACGTAGTCACCCAGGAAGAGGTAGTTGGCTTCCGGAGGGAAACCGCCGTATTCGAAGAGGCGTAGCAGGTCGTAGTACTGTCCGTGGATGTCACCGCAGATCTAAGGCTGTCAGCTCTGCCGAAAGAACCGGACGAATGCGTGAGGTGCTCGATCACTGACCTTGATGGGAGCCTCAAGCTCGAGCAGGATGGGCTGAGAAATGAAGATCTCGCGAGCCTTGGTGCAGAGATAACGGATCTCGGACTCGAGAAGCTGGACCTGCTTACCGGGCCTGCTTCCTCGGACCTCGAGAAGACGGTCGATCACGTTGTCGAGATCGATCTCATGTTGGTCTGCCATCTTTTATTCCTCACCAGCCAGTGACTTGGCCGAAGATTGTGGAAGAATTCGTGGGGCGCCTGCAATTTACAAAGGATGTAGTTGAGGCTTGCGGGTGTGCACGAGACAGCCGGCCTGCGTGTCGGATTCGATGCACTTCTTGGGCTAGTTGGGAGGGTGACGCATGTCAGCAATCGTCGCACGAGGTTTGCTTCAAATGCGGCGACCAAAGGGCGCCAAGTGGTTATCAACACCAGCATCGATGGCGACGGGGTGCGTGCATTCAAGTGTTGAAGGGCAGCATGCGAAGGCCGGACAGGGAGGGAGAGGCCCGCGGACGACAGCGACGGTGAGGATCATCAGTGAGAAGACTTACGGGAGACGAAGTGATCTTGGCTCTATCAGGGCACGTCCGCGAAGAGACAAAAAAAGTCGTGATGACAAAAACAACAACGATCCGCGACGTGCTGTGCTCGTGAGACAACTGTTCGTCAGATGGCGCGGATTGTTATGGTGATGATGTTTCGCCTTGATCCCGTGGGGGACGTGTTCGCCTTGATGGGGAGGGAGTCGTCTTGTCGATGCAAGAGAGTCGTCGTCGCCGTTATCGTCGGGGAAGGGTCGGTAGCTGGTGCAGCTGCGAGCGCCCTGTCGAGTGGAGTCGGGTGAGAACAGAAGAGCGACGAGAAAAGTCAGTTCAAGCGTCGTGGGATGGATTCGCGTAAGAGCTGAAGGGTCGCTGAGTTTGGCCCGCAAGGGGAGCGTTCGTCGTCGTCGATGGTGGGAAGGGGGAGGCAGAGCCTTGGGGTTAGAGGTCAGAGGAAAAAAAACCAAAAACCGATGCCCGAGGGGGGCAAGTGGGTTTGAGGGGATGACTTCGTGCTTTGTGTTGAGCGGGTTTCCGACCGGAAGGCGAGGGCGGCGAACGGGCGGGCTTCACTTCACCTAAGCTCACTCAGATGGGGGCGCTCTGTTGTTGTGTGATGCTATTGATTGCCGCTGGGACGCGACGTTTCTCTCTCGAGAGTGCAGAATGCAGGTGCAGCGACAGACAGACAGCGTAGCAGAGGCAGCAAGCAGGAAGCGCGGGATCGCCGGGGTGGGCAATGCAGAGGGGATTCGGGGCGGTAAACAGGAAGCAGGGTGTGCCTCTCTTTCGCGTGTATGGGGAAGCAGAAGAGGTTTTTCTGGCGATGCACCGGATCGGTCAAGATGGGGATAGCGAAGAAAGGAAAGGTCGGGTCTGAGCCAGGGCGCTAGCAAGGGGGGACAAGGACCAGGCAGGAGCAGTACCAGGGCTTCTCGAGCATCAACAGGCAGTGACGGTGCATGCTGGGCGGGTCGATGGGGGGACCGTCTAAAAAGCTGGGAGGGTGCGAGGCCACTGGGACTGACTTCCCGGGACCTACCTTAGGTACCCAGGTACCTACCCAGGTGAGACGTAGCTAGGTTCCGTCGTAGGTAGGGAGGCAGCTGGCGGCTCGCAGAACCTTAGGCCCTCTACTCTCAGTGGCCGAGACTCTCAGATTTTAGGGACAGTCACCAGCCCAAGCCACTGTGTACCCCTGCCTCGAGGCCTGTGTTGCACTGGGACCTATGTGCCAAAGCTTGGCCTGGCTGTGGCGGTGTTGGCCGCCGATACCTTGCCTTGTATCAACGACCAGGGCTACCAGATATCAGACAATGAACCACCAAGCTTCGCCGCCTGGCCTATTGTACCTTTGCTGTTTTTTTTCTCTTCATCGTTCGTCGTAAAGGCGGTCAGGAAACCGCAGCCGCAGCCCAAGGCATGCGCCTCAAGCATTTCAACGCAGTCGGCATATATCACCAACGCTATTCGCACTTGGAAGACCCCTGTCCCGACTGACGACCCTATATAAGCAGGGAGAACCCCTCATTGACAGCTTCACCAAAAGCCAATCGAGTCAGTGGGGGGCCGCGAGGAACAACAGATATCTGTCCAGTTGCGAGAAACCTAGAACTGCTTCGTTTGTCAGCTAGCAAAAAAAACATGACCTCTCGCCTTGGTGAGTCAATCCCCTCCATTTGGATGATCGACCGCCAGCTGTGTCCTGCCACTCTTTCCGCGCCCTGGCCCGATGCATCTCGTCTTTTAGGCGGCCCTACCAGATGGAACTACCACTAGTCATGCTTCGTCAGACAAGCCGGCGCTGCATTTGCATACAACCTACTTACTTGCCTGGCTACCGAGCTGCACAGCCGCCAGAACTCTACGTCAGTAGTCCCCCCCCCCAGGCCGACAATCGACAATGCCAACGCGCGTGTTCAAAGGCTTCATACCATGATGAGACGAGCCCCGAATACTCGTCTCGACTTTTTCTCGCCGCGTAATCGTCTCCGCTGGAGTAGCTCCAAGGCCGAGACCTCCGGAGGACTCGTATCATCCGGTTCGCGCACCGGCCAAAAGCAGGACAGGCAGGCCGGCTTGGCAAGCCAGGCTCGAAAGCCTTGTAGCGCATTTTCTCTCTCTTGCAGACATCTGGGTCCTGGAGGTTCTGCTGAGCACGCCAGTCAACCCCTCCCGCAGGTAGCCATCCACTCCCTCACTCAGCCCCTTCCCCTGAACATCAACAGGGTCTTGGCACCGCACCCCTTTCTCGCCTCCCTCCCCTCCTCTCCCCTTTGAGGCGCGCTTGCATTACAGGGTGCTGGTTGGCCCGTCGTTTTCGCTCGACGCCCGGCCAGGCACATTTCCCATTCGCTGCTACAGCTGTGGGCACCCTCGAAAACTGGTAGGCAACATCCAACCCAGACAGACAGATGCGAGCCGTCCCATCTGTCTGGCCGAGGGACTGTTCCGTTGCCTACTCGGCAAGTCAGTAGTAGACGAGAGCCAGACGGCTTCTCGTAGTGATGACAGGAGGAGTATGAGGCCACGCCTCAATTAGGCCGCATTGACAACGAACTGTCTACACACCGACATGGCTGTCCTGTTTCGGTCGTTGGTGAGAAGAGCCGGCAAGCACAGTATATGAATGATGCGTGTTTGCCATATGATCGATTTGGCACTCAGTGTCTAGGCTGGTGGTGACGTGGGAGACCTCTGCTGACGGTTTTGCCCGCTTCGAGCCCCTCTGGTATGCGTATACTTGGTAGCCCCAGTGTCTACCCGTACTTGCCGGGGCTCTAGTGGTCAGAACTCCAAGGTGGTGGTGGCCCTGGGCGAGGTGGTGTGTGTGACGCCGTCCTGCGCTGCCATGTCGACCCCACCGTGTGTGCTCTGTGCCCGCTCTCAGCTTTGGTGTGTTGAGCCACTAACTCTTGATGCCCCATTAGCCTGGAGGAGCGTGCTTTCCCCCCTCCCTTTTGCTCTCAGCCCCCCCAAACGAGGAACGAGGGGCAGGCACAACGATTGGGGGTGAGGGGTAAAAAGAGCACGCAGCGCCTCCTCGGGGTGAATGATAGTCACATGACCTGAGCCAGACGTCCAACCAGCCACACCACTTGCAACCTTCACAGAGCTGCTCAAGCCAAGGTAGCTGACAACCTCGCCTGCTAAGAAGGCCCCCCGTTCGCTGCCAGCTCACGTCTTTGTCTCAGCGCTCACCCACCTTCCTCAGCACACGTTTTCATCGCACAGTTGCCTGGGGAAGGCAGCCTTGCCCCCTCCCCTCTCCTCTCTTCCCATCCTCTAATAGCATCCAGAAGGTTACGAATCGTAGATCAGATCATCGCTATTGGCGTGTCGGCTCGGCGGGCATGGGCCCCACTAGCCCGATCCACTGGTCACTGGTCACTCCTCATCCCATATCGACGTCCGCCCTATCGCCGCAACCGTATGGGCAAACATGGCCAGGGACAGGTGGCAAGAGGAGGGGGGGGGGATACAGGAGCGATGCCGAGGCTTTGATGTGTGTGTGCATGTGTGTGTTGGCAACATCTCGGCTTCTCGATCGCGTTTCCCAGGTGTCTGTAAAAGTGAGGCTGAAGTTTAGGATATGCCCTGATTGAAGACACCAGAGACTTTGCCCAACTGCCACGACACCACCGTAGCCATTGACGTGACATGTGACCGATAATCACCCAGTCCGACATTCTGTGTGATATGTGATATAGACGTCAACATTCCGAGAG